GAGTCAGCACCATGGCTGGATTTTGCTTTCAACATCTGCAGCCCAATAAATCTTTGTCTCCTTGCAGTGAACTGTGCCCTTCTCGGGCTCCAATTTACCTCCCTCAGCACGATGCCCAAAGCAGCACGGCCCCGGGGGTGCCGCTGCCAGCCCGGGTCATCACCCCGCGGGGCCGGGGGACAGCGAGGGACCCGCCCGGGCAGCCCCGGCCCCGGCAGCCCCGGCTCCCCCGGTGACCGCCGGCACCGCTCCGTGCCAAAGCCCCGCCGCTCTCCAGACCTTCACTGGGCTTTTTTTGTTTTGTTTTAATTGTTTTCAAAACAGATTTCATGTGGTCCCAAAATGAGACCATGATTGTAAATTAAAGTGTAATTAGCCTTTACGCTTTTATATTCATTAACTCTTCTCTGTTAATGATGCAGAGGCTGGAGCACAAACCCAGCATTATGAAACCACATCCAGGAAATAAAATAGTGATTTAGATAATGGCCAGAATGTATTGCTGCTTACACATAATTAAACAAATGCTCAATTTACACTTGGAAACATGAATGAATGTTGATTAACCCCAGCCCAACGGCTCTGCTGGCTCGGGGCTGAGCCCGGCTCTGCGGCGGGGCTGGCAGGGTGGGCAGTGCCCGCTCCGCACCTGCCCGGCCCAGGTGCCGCAGCGAGCCCGGCTCCGGCTCTGCGGGCTGGTGCCAAAAGCCACCCCTGGCACACGGTGACATCGCCCCGCGGGCAGGGGATGCTGCCGTGGCGGTGCCACCGCTGTGTCCGCACGGAGCAGCGGGGACAGCGGGCCCGGGTGGCATCGCCCTCGCCGAGGGTCGCTCCCGCACAGGCTTTGTCTCCGCTCCCCTGCGCCCGCTGCCCTCCAAACGTGCCAGTTACTATGGAGACATCTCCTCCTGAGCGCGGGAGGAGCCTGAGCCCCGTGCGGGACAGCGCCCGGCCCTGCCCGGCTCCAGAGCCAGCGCCGGGGCTCCCGCGGGACCGGGGGGAGCGGGGACCCCGGATGGGACAGGGTGCCATCCACCGAGGGACCGGGAGGGACAGGGGTGTCACCCACCGAGGGACCCAACAGGGACAGGGGTGCCACCCACCGCGGGACCCAACAGGGACACGGTGCCATCCACCGCGGGACCCCAGCAGGGACAGGGGTGTCACCCACCGAGGGACCCCAGCAGGGACAGGGGTGTCACCCACCGAGGGACCCCAGCAGGGACAGGGGTGTCACCCACCGAGGGACTCCAGCAGGCACAGGGTGCCACCCACCGAGGGACCCAACAGGGACACGGTGCCATCCACCGAGGGACCGGGCAGGGACAGGGGTGTCACCCACCGAGGGACCCCAACAAGGACAGAGGTGCCACCCACCGAGGGACCGGGCAGGGACAGGGGTGCCAACCACCGAGGGACCCAACAGGGACAGGGGTGTCACCCACCGCGGGACCCAACAGGGACAGGGGTGTCACCCACCGCGGGCACCTGTGCCCCATGCGCCGGGCCTGGGGAGCACGCTGAGGGCAGGGGGGCCCTGCTGGCTCCAGGCTGTGCCAGTGCCAGGCAGGGCTCCGTGGGGTTTCCTGGCGAGGACGGCTGTCCTGCTGGTCACAGGGAATCCCTGCGCAGGCTCCAGGGGAGCAGGAGCTGGGGACATTCCCTGGGGCCCATTCCCCACCTCGGGCTGGCTGGGCTGCCCATGGCAGCACCCCCAGAGCTGCCCCCCAGCCCCCTCACCTCGTGGTGTGTCCGGAGCTCCCACGGACCGTTCATGGATCGCTGCCTCAACAGGCCATAATGGCTCCATCTCCCGGGGTCAATACGGGCGCCTTTGACACATGATAGACAATAATTGCTCTTTCTTAGAGACTTTTTAGTTCATGGATCATTGACCTGATGGGCTGTAACAGCTCCGACAGAGGCTGCACACCCCTGTGCTTAACCACCCTCGGGAGCAGGCAGCTCACGGGGCCGCGTGGAACAGTCTCTCCAAATCCACGCTCCCCGTGCAGGCTGCCCTGGGGCCACTGGAAGCCCTTCTGGTAGCACGGCCGTGGAGGAGAGGCCGTGGCAGGAGGCACAGGAGCCCAGGAGAAAAGGCCAGCACACCCCAGGATCCCTCGAGTCCCATGGGACAGAACCAGGATGCACAGGACCAGGTCACCTCCCAGGCTCTGCAGGCTGGAGATCCCCACTCTGACAGCAACTTCCAGGTATATGATTTAATGAAAGGCACAATAAGAAGTGAAACAATTAGAATTTCTGCCTCATTATCATGGTAATCTTATCAGTCGGATAATGAGGTATTAATGGAGATTTAATGTGCCTCTCATAACAGAATCCCTTGGAGAAAACACATAAGGAAATTGCTGTAAATCCACTTAATGATGGAAAGGTCCCCAAACACCATATTCCAGAGGATGAAAAATGCTGGATGCAAATGAGAGAGAATCAAGGTCAATAACGCTGCGGGGACCAAGCTCACGGCCCCGCCCGGCCCCGCCCGGGAGGGGGTGAGTGGCACCTGGAGAAATCCTCCTGTCTCAGCAAAAAAAAATGAACATTTCCTAAGAAAAGAGATGCCAAACATAATACTTTTGGACTTGACCACTCTCAACAAGGCATCAAAGAGCAGCCAGCAGAGGGACAGGCGCATCCTGCTGCAGGCTGAGCTGCTTCTCTCCTCCCAAGCTACCACAACAGCCAAGCTGCAGATCCAAAATTATAAGTGAAGAGCTCTGTGTTAAGCAGTCAGTGCAGCAGCTTCCTCTCCCCTTTACTGGATTTTGGTTCCTTTTTGCCAGTGTCCCTCCCCTGTGTGGAGTGAGGATGGCAGAGCAGCAATGCCCAGTGCAAACCACACGGAGTTAGTGGGAAGTGCTCACACTTGCACAGCCACCCCTGCTGATGGCACTGGAACAAGGCAGAAACGTCAAAGCCAGGCGGTTAAACTGCTCTCCTTTTAATCAGTTTTTACAGAATAATACATTAATAATCACGTTAAGAGACAAGATGGGGTTCCTGTATACAAGATTGTGCAAGCTCGTTAATTTAGATTTATAAAGGCTTTACCAAAGAGGAGAGGCAGTACAAAGCTTTTCAATAGAGGTAAAGCACAATTAAAAGGTACAGAACACACGCTACTAACTGAGCAGAGGTTAATTCTCAAGTAGTACAGGCTCAACCACGTCCCCAGCTGTACCTAGACACGAGCATCCTTCCCCCCTGTCCCCACTGCCCCTGCTGCTCCAGCTCTCCAGGCACACTGGCTCACTCGTGCCAACACACAGCTCTGCTGCCAGCAGCTCTGCCCCTCTCCTGCCCCCTTCCCCCACCCCACTCCCACGGCAGTGAGTTCTCCAATTCTGTGAGAATTTGGCTTAACAGTACAAGAACATTTTCAAGCAATACAAACCAACACTGTGCTCACCAGACTCACCCACAGGAAACAGCATCATGTTCGTGGCTTTTTTTCCTGAAGTTTATGGCAGTTACATTCAGCATTTGGTAGTAAAAGGTCTTCAAAACAAAAACTTTTAAACTCAAATCCTTGATAGGCCAGACACATTCTGACTCTCCTTAAAGAGGATTTTAAAAAGGTTTCAAGAGAAATCTCACTTAGGAGCACAAAGGAATCTCCTAGAGATGAAAACCCCAGCCCTTTCCTTTCCCTCCTCTACCCAAAAAGGAAACCAGCACCTCTGCAGCATTCCCAGGCACAGACATCGTGGCAGCTCCTCAGAACGTGCCAAGGTCAGCGCTGAGACAACAGCCCAGCCTGAAGCCCACGCTGTGAGCTGGCACCAAGGAGCCTCTCCTGCTCCACCCTGCCCAAAATGCTCCATTCCTCCCCCAGGGGCTCCAGGAGCTCAATTCACAGAAAGCACCGAGATTACAGCAGCAGGCCCGTGGCTGGCACCTTTTGGCAGCAGTTCTGCTACTTTTGGTCCTTTATGCAGTGTCTTCTCACCTTGGCTATTGCACATCAAACCTAACAACATCACTTCCTAGACATGGAATTCAGCATTTTAAAACAAAACATTACGGGATGCAGGGGAAAACAGTAAAAGGACATTACAGGCAGGTTTTTAATTCTTTGGAAAGCCTAATTCTCTAACTACACCTATCAAGACTAATAAAGGACCTTCAAAGTAGGCTGGAAAAAAGAAGCAAAGGACCATCTTGCTACAAAAACTCTCAGCTCACCTGGGGCTCACTGGAACACCTACTGGTTTTAAAATAACTAAGTAACATTTAAAAAAAGACTCCCGTTCTTTTAAGTATTTTTCCATGCAGAGAAACCAAGTGATAAAAGCCGTGAAGGAAATGGTTCTTGCCCCTTCCACAAAGGAGAGTGAAGCTGAAAGCCCCGACGGCGCTGACCAAACCCTGAGCCAGGCCAGCACACAGGGGGATCAGCACCTCCTGTGTCCTTGTGCCTTCTTCAGGGACCCCACAAACACTCTCCTCAACCAACACCCAAACTGCAGAACTCCCACACATCAGTCTTAACACCTCGGATATTCAAGTAATAATTACGTATTACAGGACACTTCAATAGAAATGAATTTATATTGCTTTTTGATATGATCTGGCCATATCTTCAAGGGCATGTTTGTGCTTTGCTGCAGGGCTGTGCTTGCAATATTGAATTACATGTTCAGCACCAAAAACCCATCAAGGCTAAATAACCAGAATATTGCAATGCTACACAGACTGAGACACCGAGTAAGGCAGATCAGAAGAATTCTGTTTTGACTGAGTATTGCTCCTCCACACAATCAAGAGGAGAAAGACTATAGAGAAAAGGAAAAGGTTACCATCCCACCTTCTCACCTGTGATCAGTTTGGCAAAACTGCTCAATTGAGTTATATCTGAGAGTCCTAAAAAGTGAGTTTCCTGATTATGCCTTGACAAGTAGCACAGCCAAATCAAGCACTCAATACTTTACATAAATTGCTCTAATTCCAATTGACCACATGATTTTCTCAAGTACTAGTTGCTTACAGGTTTTAATCATCAAAATGCACACACACACACACAAAATGAACCAATTGTGTTTTTAAAAGAATGTGAGAAAGATTTTGTTTTCTTTACCACTCACAGACACCAAGTCTTACCACATCCCTCTGTCAGAAGTGCAATGAACACTCTGGAAAGAGCAAGAAATAATACTGACATGAGAAAGCTCAGTGCTCGCTGTCCCTTTTCACTGTATTAAGCTGAAAAAGAGCAGCGAGTGCTTGTGTACAGCCAACACCTGCTGGCCATGCCCCAGACCACCTCACTCATGAAAAACCCATGTGGTGTTGTGCATAAAAACCTCCTTAAATTGATAAGGGTCAGTTTAAGGGGAAGGCGGGGTGAGAAATCTATAAAACACCCTGAACTGATGTCATGATATGTTTCATAAAGAACAGTGTTATATTATTTTAAAATATTTTTTATGAACAGTAAAACTTGCACTGCTGCATAGCAGACAACACGAAGAACATTTAGTAAAAACATTCACTGAACCCCCTGGCATATGTATTTAATGTCACTAATCAAAATATATATTACAGCCCAAGGTTCTGTTAAGGATCTCTGTTTGGGGTTTGTACAGTATACACAATAGCTCAGAAAAAATATTACAGTAAGGTATTTTATTTCTCCTTTTTATATTAGACTTTTCTATTGTAACTTACAGTCCCTGTCCTCTATATATCCAAACCTCTGGAACACCCTAATGCCCTAGCCAAGAAGTGTTCAGCTAGCTAATAAGCCCTATTATAAATTCCAGTTTTAGAAATTTCAGTAATTACATCTTAATAAATAGTTCAGTTTGCCCTTTTTAAATCTTAGCCTTTTGAGGAAGTCCTTTTGTCACCCAAACATGGTAGGTCACAACCTGTTAGAGGTCAGAGAGGCTTCTGCTTGTTTATTCAAAGGATAGTAAGTCCAAAGATACTTGCAATGCATTAAATATAGTTATATAATATTTACACTGTCCTCTCAGATTTTAAATTTAGGTGAAATACAACCAATAACTGATGCCAGCTACTACAAACTTTCAGTGTGGCTGGTGTTTTCTTGATAAAAGGTGTGTTCAACTAGAAAGTTTACTACGTGGCTGCCCTGTTTCCTCTTGTTTCAGTTTTTCATTAGAAATTAAATGAAGTGAATGATTCACGTGAATAAGAATTCGGGAAGAGGGGTGGTGGAGAAAGCATGAAGAATTTTCTGAATGCTTTGAGATTCCAAAATACCTGAAAACTGTGGTCCCTTTTGCAGTGCCAGTATCTAGAGGGGAGGAAAACGCAACCCAAAGAGAAGAGGAAAATCCATTAAATTAATTAGATTAGTAAAGGTGTGTTTTAAAATGCCTCAATTCTGTACAGTATTTTACAAGGAAAGTCTTTTCTTCAGCTTTTGCAGCTGTTGTACATTCTTAGGAACTCCTCTCCTGCTCTCAGTCTGCCTGTGCTGTGTGAGCTACTTGCGGTCGTCGATGGTTTTGATGAACTCCACGGCTGCCGTGAACTGCATCCACCAGTACGACTCCTCTCCAGACAAACAGTTGGCATAGAAACTGCTGATGTACTGCACAGTGGACAGCAGGCAAGGGGGGTTTGCCTGGGGGAGGAGAAGACAGAGACACAGCTTGTTTGCAAAGCCCAACATCAACAAACACCGCCAGATACAGAACAGAAACACAATTCCCTTTGTGCAGTGATCCTCATCCTACAGAGTATGTAACCTGCCTGCAGGGTAGGGACTGTTTATCCTCAGCAGCCCCACTTCACACGCTCAGAAGGCATCAGGTTTGATGAAAGGAACATTTTTCCAACAAGGAAAAATGACTAGCAGGCCAAGAGAAAGAAGGGGAACGCTGCCACAATCTGTGAAGGTCATCAGGACCTCAACACATGTAAAGCCTGTTGTTTCAGCATCTCACACGTCAGACCATTCTCCACTCGTGTCAAAAAGGACCAGCAACACAACCCAAGTCAGTCCTGGTCTGCATCTTGGTCCTGATGACAGCATGAAGCAGGCACAGGTGACAGATGCTGGTGGACATACCTCAAACAAACTCCCCTCCACACACAGCATCTGCACCCCAATTTTATTGGTTCCAAATGCAAAATTTGCTTGGATTCAAAAACCGTAACTCCCGACCACATTTCTGACATTCCAATTCCAGCCCTGCTGAATCAGATCTGGGTTTGATCCTGGCCAGCCCCCTGTGACCCACAGGCATTATCCCTCCTCCTAAATTTGCTTGTTTATTACAGGAATTAACCAGGGTTTGTGATCTCTGCAGAAGAACTCACCTTTATGAGGACAAAGACCAGAACAGGAACAAAATCATCTGCCCCAGGTACCGAATCCTCGTTGGCCAGGCTGAGCAGGTTCATGATGGTGGAGCACATCCTCAGGATGCACTGCACCTTGTCCCGGGGGGTTTTGTAAGCGCTGATGGTGCGGATCTCGGACTGCGCCGACGGCCACGGCGCCTCCCGCAGATACACCTGGGGAAAAAACAAAAGTGCTCGCTGGGCAGGCCACTGCTGGAGCAGAGCAGCACCACAGGCTCCTCTGGGGGAAATGGGAAGCTTTCATTTAAATGGCAAACTGAAAGAGGGGAGATTTAAGTTAGATATATGGAAGAAATTCTTCCCTGTGAGGATGGAGAGGCCCTGGCACAGGGTGCCCAGAGGAGCTGCAGCTGGGTACAGCCACAGCATGGCTACAGTGTATTTTCCTGAAGGATATTTCATCTGTCACAGGCAGCAAAGCAACCCTTCTAAGTGTAAAACAGAACAATCCTCTCCCCATCCCACTCCCAGTCCAAACCCCAACACACATACAGAAGCAAAGGAAAAGAGTTGTTACCTCAGGTATCTGCAGTGCTTTGTGGTTTGCAGTCACTACTTTGGATAACCTCTGTATGTGCTCGTGAAGGACCCTGAAACAAAAAACAAGAGTGAAAAGTAAGCAGCAGCCAGCCAGCTGAGGAAACTTGCTTCATGTTTGATAGGACAAGAAAGATCTTCAGGAATGTGGCCCTACAGATGATGGACACCAGTTCAGTCAAGATGCAGAGGATTGTTCTGTGCAGCCAAGAACAGCCACATGTCCTCTGGAGCATCCTAACAGCATCTGTTCTAATCCACAGGAACCCCAAATGCATGGAAAACACTGAGTGAAACCAGAAAATGGACCAGGTCCAGTCCTGAACCAGGTTTTGATCATTCTTTCAGCACACACACTTGCAGACCTGACAGTCTGTACCCCAAATCATCACACTTACAATGCTTTTTTTCTGTTCTAGCAGTTTGTTTCTAACACATTTGCACATGATGCTAAAGCCCTTCCTCGTTCTTTCACAAAATGTTCTGAAGGAAAACATGAATTTGTGTGGCTGACTCAGACAAGCCTGTGGCAGGAGGGCTGCACATCTTCCACGGCACCAACTGCACAAGAGAAAACAAGTCCTTTGAATTCCATTCACTTACTGGTCACGCAAAATATCCCCGTCCTGGTTGGGGTAGAAGGCGAGTTTGAAAATGCGATTCATCACGCTGCGCTCTATGGCCAGCTGCGCGTCCTGGAGCTGCTCCTCGCTGGCGTTCTGCCAGATGGCATCCTGAGCCATGGCCCCGTACAGGAACTGCAGAAAATCCTCCACTTGGGCCGTTTTATCATCGGCTGCCGTGAGTTTCTGGAAATCTGACAAAAAAGGAGGAAGAGAAAGAATGTTTGCTTAAGTAAAAGAACATTATTTCTGGTAAGTTTTTCAGGCACATTTAATGTGCAGCACTGTATGCTCCAGGAGCAAGAACTGACTCCAAATTCCTCATGTGCTTCACTTAGTCAGACATGTGCACAGAGAACAGAGAACCAGTTTGGTCTAAGTGGCTGTTTTGAGTTTCCTGGTGCCACTGTCTCTTGTGCTGTGATATTTTTGAATCTTTGATTCACTTGATTCACATTGTTACTATCCCACATACCTTCTAAGGTGCAGCCAGAGGTTCTGGACTAAGAATGCTGCAACTTAATTTATCATATATCAGTAGATATGAAATAATTAATAGTATTCACGCTTCTGCCACGGGGCAGATAATGTGATTTAGCATAATTTTTTTGGCCAAGTAAGGTCAAATTACCTTCATTCTCTCAGCCCATGAAAAATGCAGACAATTACCATAGTTTAGATGCCACAACATACTGTAAAGTCACAGTAATCTGTCTGTTTAGCCATTAATTCACCATCTGAAATTGAAATAATTTTAGGAATCTACTCCTCAGATCAAAAGCCATACTTTAAAAGATGGTTCTGGACTAAGAACTGAATGCTGCAACTTAATTTATCATGTATCAGTAGATATAAAATAATTAATAGTATTCATGCTTCTGCCACGGGGCAGATAATGTGATTTAGCATAATTTTTTTGGCCAAGTAAGGTCAAATTACCTTCATTCTCTCAGCCCATGAAAAATGCAGACAATTACCATAGTTTAGATGCCACAACATACTGTAAAGTCACAGTAATCTGTCTGTTTAGCCATTAATTCACCATCTGAAATTGAAATAATTTTAGGAATCTACTCCTCAGATCAAAAGCCATACTTTAAAAGATCAACCCAAGTCATCATCCAAATAGAGAGTAAAGGAATACAAAAACTCTGGTCTGCATTAATCTTACCTTGAATGAACTCCCTTATTTTCTTTTCCTTGCTCTCCAGCAGTAACCTCACACAGACTGTAGTGAAGTATCTGTTGGCCACTTCTTTATCTCGCAGGACTCTCTGCAGGAGCCTCTCCAGGTGCGCCTGTGTCGTCTGCAGGCCTTGGCGACAGCGCGTTAAGTACGCGATATACGGAGCTCTTTTCCTAAAGCAAAGAGCTCTGCATCAGACCCACAACAAAGACAGAGGCTAACAGCTTTCCAGACTGCTGAGTCAGAGTGCAAAGGATCCTTCCACTTGCTGTTTTTACAACACAACAACGCCCGAATTCGGAAGTTTGCCTCGCACGGGTGAGGCGATTTTGTGGGGAAGCAGAGACGCAATAACCTGGTTTGGTAAAGCACAACTTAAACCAAAAGGGATCTTCCCAATCTGCTGGTGAATAAAGAGAGAATGTGGGAGCCCAGTGCTGAGGAGGCACTGCACGAGGTACCTGTAGTCCTCCGCGATGGAGGCCAGCAGCTTGCGGCACGTGCGGTTGTCGAAGCGGCTGACGCAGCGCATCGTCTCCTGCAGCTGCGCCATCAGGTTCTTGTCCTGCAGGTTGATGGCTTCAGCCAGCTGAACTTTCAAGAAGCACACAATTTCATTATCTAATAAAGAAAAAAAAAAAATGTTAAGAAACGTAGGCATGATGAAAATAAACTATCTTTGAATATGGGAAACGCATTAACGGTTTAAAACAAAACTTCTGTACATTAAGGAAAAAATGTTATTTTAGAACAGTTTAAGAATCCTTTTTGAATTTTCTAGCTATCAGAGGATAAGCCTCCATATCACTGTCTTATCTAGCATTTAGAACCATTCTGAAATGTGAAGAGGACCCCATAAGGTGACATATTCACCTGTCTGCAAATAAACCTAGAGTGAACGAAAGGATACAACACAACACATTTATACTAAGTCAACATAAAGACCCAGTAAATCATTCAAGTGGCACAACTCCAAACAGCACATGTATTTTCAGAGTCTATTCTATAGCTCCAGGCTCTACCTGCACAGTATCTGTGATACTTCATTACAAAAAATTCTTAGAGCAGGCTGAGATGGCAGTTTGTCTGTGGAGTAAGAATGAAAACATTCTGGGGGCAAAAGGCAGCCCGTGCCCTCGATATTTATGGCAAAGAGAAGGGACCATAAATGGTGCAGTACAAGTGCCATTACATGGGGACAAGGACAGACACACACAGAGCAAAGGGCCTGTACCTTCAGGGTCTGTGTGGTCTGGGAGACCATTCCTTGTTGAGTGTGTCAGCATCGGGAGGGCGACAGAATCTGCTGAACAAAGAGCCAATCTCAATTTCTTCTTTGCATCCCTTAAAGAGGAAAAATATTTTCTTAACACAGTTGATGAGAGGTCTGCTTCTTCAATAAGAAATCTTTATTTTCTTTTTTGTTTAATACTACCTAGAAGTTATTTAACATAATTTTAATATACAGCATTGTCAAGACTTTAGAATACGAGTTCTTTTGATACAGCACCATTTTCAAAGGGATTTTCTTAAACACTGAATTGCTCTGTCCTCTCTGGTTACAAACACCCCTCCACCAGTGGAAATATGACAGTTTGAGATACCTAAAGCACATCAAAGTTCACAATTAAACTGTATTAATATTCTTGTGGGAACCAGTCACACAGCTTCAGCTTTTAATTCTACTTTGTGGGTAAGATGAAACCTGCAAATGTCTTTACCTGTAGGAGAAAGCAGAACCTTGTGGCTGTGCTACTTGACTTGCAGAGTCTGGGAGGTCATCTGCAGACATGTTCTGCAAAGCCTCATCCCGTGGGGAGTCGTGCATGCTCTCACCATCCCCAATTGCCTCTGTGGAAATGAAAAACACATTGCACCTCAACAGAGGAGTCAGAGGAAGAAACCAGACTAATTTTGTGCTTGTTATTCGAAGGTCGGGGAGGGAATGGAGACAGCAAATAAACCAGCTTGTTCTGGATACATGAAAAAATGCACATTAAAACATACAACCTAGAAGCTCCTAAGAAGAAACTGCAAAAGTTTTGGAAGTCAACTCTTCAGTGCCATTTAAAACAAAACAACAAACTGGTGGGAGATCAACACCCAGCTCCCTCAATGGCAATACAAAAGAGCTGTCCTTGGGAATACTGATTTAATTCCCAGCCTCTGAGGGACTGTCCCACAGCTTATTTGACAAAACATTCCTTGTTTAGAGCTCACACTGTGCAGCTGCTAATCCTAGCCCTGGTCTAGAACACTGAAGTGTGTTTATCTCTGAGGAGCAGGAGCTATGCTGGTGGTGATTACAGAAGCCAGGCTCTCACCTGCACTGTCGTAGTTCACGATGGCTCCTTCACTGGGACTCGTTCTCTTGATTGCATTCCTGTATTTGTCCAGAATGTCCTCAGCAGCTTGTGCCTGTGCACTGAGCCTCGGGCTGGGATCATCTGAAAGGACCACAAAAAACAACAGGAGTTACCCTGCTGTTGGGCCAACTGAAAGCAAATAAAAAAACTTCAGCCTACACATTTGGACTCTGTTTTTAGCCAGATCAAACAAAGAGGTGCTTGTGTCCTGTGCAGCCCAAATTCAAATGCATTAGTAAAGTCTGAAGCAAATCAGAAAACAAACAGTACAATCAAAGTGAACAAACGAAGTCAGATCCTGAGCAGATCCTCAGCACATTTATATGGCATACACAGTATGCAGTATAAATGGTATTTGAAGACTTCAAGAAAGGATCAGGCAAACAGAAAACGTAACACCCAGGTTCACACCATGTTTAATTTAACACTTAAGAAACTATTACAGGACTGTGTGTACAGCTATCCTTACAGCTCAGCTGTGACAAGGACAGGAGCTCTATAATGAGGGCGGGAGGAAAGTGAGGACTTGAGCTGAGAATCCACTACAGGCACAGACAGACATGTGACAACTTAAAAACAGCCTTCAAGTCAGGAAATCTTTATCCATTTTCTTATTCAAAATGTCAGTTCTGAACACGAGCTACAACAGCATGTACCTGTCTGTCAGTGCTACCTGGTGGGCACTCTGGAGCTCCAGGAGGCACACTCTGAGAGAAAATTACTGTGATGATGTTATTCACATACCTTGAAGCGTTGCGTATCTGTCAGGCACCATGTCATCTTTGTCTTTTTCTTGTTTTTCTTTCTTCCTAAATGGAATAGGAGCTGAAAATGCAAGGTACCTCATCAAAGACTACTCTGAGATAATGGCCAAATCGCAGAAAGTTTAAGGAAGGGGCCAGTGCAGAAAATTTTCATCAAATCAACTCCCATAAAAGCATCAGCTTATCCATGGGGTAGAGCAGAACTGTACTGCCACCACCCACAGCCAGCTCCACCCTTAACACACACGAGGTCAGGCAGAACAGCTTGGCCTTGCAGGTACAGCACACTCTAGGGAGCTGCTAGCCAAGGGAGTCAGGTAGCTTCCCATTTTTATTTACATATTTATTTATACTTTAACCATAAAGAGATAATAAAGGCAGTGTGAGCTCTGACTGGAGTACCAAACCCAGAGAGACACGATCCTACCTTTGGGCATGGCAGACACAAAACGTTTCCTCCACCAGGGCTTGTTCCTGTCAGACTTCTCATCATCACTGTCTTTCCGTTCCTCAATCTGCAGAAGGGCAGAGTCTACATTTGAGCATTTACCAAATCAAGTGTAAGGAGAAAATTTCTCCTTCACATCAGCTTTTGCTACACTGTGAAGTTCTGTAAAAACAGAACTACAGCAGAGCACGAAGGGCAGATTAAGTCAGAAATATCTCTCCTAATGAAGACATCCTGCAAATGCAAACCCACAGCCACAAAGAACATTAGATTTCACTTATTTCTTTTTAAAATAAAATTAATTTTCAGGCTGCTGCAGCAATTTAACACTACAATGAATCTGCTTCTGAAGTACCACCAGTAAACCTCATCTAGTAAACTTAAGAAAAGCCAGCTCCATTTAAGCCACTCTGAACATCTGCAGCTTTATCTTATAAAACATTACTGGCCAACGTTTAAGGGTAACAAAAGTGTGTTGTAATTCCTTAGCTAAAGACACTTCATTCCAACTTCCTGGCATTAGGTGCATAGTTAAAGTGGGCATCAGAGACAAAAACAAAATGCTAAATAAAGCTTCACCTCTCCCCTGGAGGAGTCCTTGCTGGGAGATGAAGACGACGACTGAGAGGCCAGCACGGCTGCCCCGGCGCTGCCGGAGGCCATGGGCAGCTCCCTGTCCTCGTTCCCAGCACGTCTGTTCCAGCCAGGATCACTCATGGGCCTCCGCACCGAGGGCACTATGTCCGAGCTCCTGCTGCGGACCAGCCTCTCCGGGTAGGAGTGCCTCTGCTTGAAGGCTTCCAGGTCTGTCGGGATCAGAGCGTGGGACCCAAAGCTCGGCAGTCGCGCCTCGTTACCTCCCACGGCTCCTTCCAGGATGGGGGGATCTGGAGGTGGGTGAGAGGGTCTTGCATAGTGCACTTTAGGCCTCACTACAGCTGACACACCTGTGGTCACAAGCAGAAAAGAAGCCACACACATTTCTTTTAATATTAGTCCAAATTACCTGGTTACCTGGTACTGACATAGAAGCATCGAAAATGCCTTTTTTAAAACAAAGCTTAATCTGTATAACTCACCCTCATTTGAGGACAGAGGGTCAAACAATGCAAGCAAAGAATCTGTTTGAGAAGGAGGAGATGTCAACTGACTGGCTCCTGAAATACAGAGAGAACAAAGTTAGTGCCATACCAAAGCTGCCTCCAACATGAGAGACACTGGAAAAACAGACTTCAGCAACAAAAGTTTACAAAACTTAGACTGCAAAGTATTTGTAAAGATATTCCTGTAGGAAAGATCTCTGCAGTACCTTGAAATGATCAAAGAGTTACATCACAAAAAATGGAGAATTCTTGAGGAGCAGCCCAGTTCCAAAATGCAAGAGGACAGTCAATGCAAACTGAATTAGGGATCTTAGATTAGAGCTCAAGCTGTAGTACAGCAAAGCACTGGAGCCTCTTTGTCAAACAAATACAGTACTGGCAAATCAGGAAAATAATTATGCTTAATCACTAGCACTTTGAAATTGGGGAGAAACTGTAAAATTTAAGGATTCCATAAATGTCACTTGTTTTTATCAGAGATTCCAGATAAGGAACTTACCATGGGCTGTTTCATCCATGTCAGGACTTGTCACAGAATCTTTGCCCCCAAAGTCAGAGCTACATTCAGACCTGAGATCCTCAATCTTGTTAGGAATATCTTCAGATGTTGCACTAATACCTTACACATAACAAAAGAACCATCTGTAATAGTCTTTCAAAGAACAAGGAAGCAAAAGCCTGAGGCTGTTAAAATGTTTGGTGGACAGTGAGTAATCAAGTTCCAACTCACAGTAGCACCTACAGACATTACAAATTTCTATACTCATAAAATAACAGTTTATTTTTGCTCTACATCTTCAGAAGTGTGACCACAGCCATGAATACACTCTGACAAGAGGCATTAGAAAGACACTTCACTCTTACATACTTTGCAAAAAAATTAAGAACTAGAGCTATGATTTATTTAAATTAAACAAGTAGTTTTATGCAAGAAAGTTTGGAGTTTCTTCCAAAGCAACACTCCTCTGCTAACCACTGCTATTGCAGCACAGGCCATCCACCTCTCTGCTGCCTTTTTTATTTCTTCTGGGAGGTGAACAAAGAATCACAGCTTCCAAAATTCCAGAACGAGCGCAGGAAGTTATTTTATGAGTGAAGTGATGCATAAATAAAGCACTGGAGCAAAGAGAGTGCTGCCCATGCTGTGATGGAGCAGCTCTGTCAGACACAGGTGCACACACCTGACACAACGCTCAGGCCGGGCGTGCTGGGCCGAGAGCTGACCTCCCTCACATCTGTGTCATCAGACGTGCTGCCCAGCCCAGAGCAGCTCTCCAGCTCTTGCAGTCTTTCCTCCTGTTTTAAATCTGGAGCCTCTACAAAAGGGAGACAATGGACAGCACACAGAGAAAGTATCATTACTCAATGCCATGCTCCCTACACATTCACAAGCAGAAGGAGGGGGTGGGGGGTGATTTAGTGTAGCAAGTTTTAAGGGAACTCAACCACTTCAACAAGAGTTTTCTTATATCCTTTGGTACAGAAGGCAGGACTCTGCACAGACAGCAATGCTCTGTCTGCACAGGCATGCAGGAGAGGAGTGTTCACTGTTTTAATTGTATTTTTTAGACAATAGGATACAGTCACATCCTCACTAACCAAAGTAAACCATGGTCCTGGATTGCTCCTACCACAGGGAAGGAAAAAACAATCACGAGTTTGCTTTGGAAACCCTTCTCTTCCCCTTCAAACCTTAAGAATTTCTTAAGTAACAGAAGTCTGTCCCAATGCTTTTCATCTTCTTTCTGCCTAGGAGCACTTTGTCCTTTTAATCCTGGAAGTATCCGCAAAAACTAACTTAAACCTAGGACAGTAATTTCTTGAAAAAAGAGGAAGAGGAAGAGGCTGCTGTTTTGCATTCTATGCCTCTGGAAGAGTCTTAGAATCATGCTAAAGAAATACGCAAAAACTGCCCGATTCTGACCTGAATCACTTGGTAATACTTCCACACTCCACGCCTCACTTGTGGTTTCTGATATGGTTGAACCTGTGCAGGGATCAAGCAACACGGATCCTGAACCTGGCAAACACAGCAAGCTGCCTAGCATGTTCTCTGCAGCTGCACCTGCAAAAGTAAAGCCGGAGCGTATGGCTAGAGCTGGGCTTGGGGAGTCAGCTCTAGAGAGAAAAGGAAGAACACCTCTTAAGTGTCCTTGAGAAAGCAATCAGGAAACACAAGGTTGAAAAGAAACCAGTAACTAAGTACAGTCCAGGTCATGCACACAAAAATCCTCCTAGAGCAAATCTCCAGTTGAATCTGTGGAAATGCCCCTGTTGAGGAAGGGAGGAGGAGGAGGAGGAGGAGGAGGAGGGCTCTGCAGCCTCGGGTCCAGAGCAGCACAGGACCTACCCAGAGCACACCCGTTACCTGCGATCTCCTGCAGCCGGTCCTCGTCGATGTTGGGGTCGAAGTCACTTCCCAAGACATCTGTGCTCCAGGTTTCACTGACAGTCTCTGAGATGTCTCTGTCATCAGTCAAACCCATCATGTCACGGATTTCAAACTTACGGAGCTTGTCATCCAGGTTATCCTGAGTTGTGGCTGTGGAAACAGAAACAGTTCTTGGTTTTCTGAAAGGCTTCTCCAATTGTTTCAGATTGAAAGCCTGTAAGAGTACATTAGGAAAAAAAAATCCCAAACAAACAGCCCCCCTAATTCTCTCAGGTAAGGCAGTGGTTTGAAGGAAGGCCTGTAAAGCACTATTACACTACTCAGGAAATGCTGCCTGAAAAAACATTTGAGACATAAGAAGAAAAATCTGGAAGTACACATGGTAAGCTGTCAACTAAATTGACAGAAAAAATAAATGCAGGTAGTGCTACAAAGACACTGATACAATTCCTGTAGAGGAACAGGATCACAGAAAAGCTGAGGCCCCCAGGGATCATTCCAACCCAAACTCCCTGCCCTGGTCAAGGACTCCAGGCTGTTCATGATCATGTCCAGTCATATTTTGAGCATCTCTAAGCTGGAGACACCACAACCTCCGGGCAACCTGTTCAGTGCTTGACAAATGGACATTATAGAGAAAATTATCCAGATACTTCCAGACTACTCCAATCCAGATCATCCTATTCCTGAAGGGAACAGCTTGATATCAAGCAAAACTTTACAGTTTCCTATAAAGGACTTAAGTCTCAAAATTCCAGGCGACTTTCTTTTCCTAACAACAGACGACAAAGAATATTTCTTGGGGGGAAGAAAAACACCAAACCAAAACCGCAAATAAATACAAGAGCGATTGCACAAGGAAAATGTCGACTTTTTTTTCCCTTGAATTAGTCAATTTTGCAACCTCTTTCCAGAGAGACTTTGGCTTTAGCCTCTCCAGGAGCTCAGGCACTGGGAGGAGAACGGGCACCTGCCTTGCTCGTGCTCCAGCAGCTGCAGAGCCTCCACGCCGTTGCTGCCGGAGGGGCCCGCGCCCAGCTCCGACACCGACTCCCCCTCCAGGTCCAGGGAGGACACGGAGTTGGAGCGATTGGAAGGGCCTGTGGAAACAGATCTTACTTTAGAACTAATTTGAGCAACATATAAATATACAGCGTTAACGATTCGGGATGCAAAACTCGCTAAAAAAATGAGAAGGAACGAAGCAGCAGTTCCAACACAAAATATTGAATCTCACCACTACTGTACTTAGCTGGAACTTAAAAGCCAATAAATTCTTTGTCTTTAACTTATTTACTTGCTCACGAATTTGTTTTCTTATTTTGAGGAGACAGCAAAAATGAAGTTATGGAAGTTATACAAAATAATGCAAAAGTGATGTGTCCGAACCTCTACATTCCCACAGACATCTGTGCTTTGTTATGTCTGAGGTTCATACAAAGGAGTTGTGCAGAAACTATTCTGGGAATAGAAACTATTCTGAGATACGTAACAGCTAATTAGAACATGATGAAGAATAAGTCTGAGACGTTCAAGTTTAGAGCTAAGTTAGATTATCTTAATAATTAGTACTGCACTTAAGTTTAAAACAAAAGTAAACCAAAAAAACATTTTCTCTTTTTAAACACACTTAGTCTTTTTCTTCCCAACTCTCAGATTCAGTTTTGCCTTTGTAGGTCAAAATTTAGCTCCAGGCTTTGTTCTCTGAACAACTAAGAAAGAAGACAGGGTCTCAGAGTGAAACAGCAGTCTCCAAAACAGCAAAGCCAAGATGCTGTATTTAACACACCTTCCTTTTACGGTTAAGGGGGAAAAAAACCCAACAGAGCAACAAAACTTCTTCAAGACTTAAGCAGCCCTTCACCTTCAGATATTCCTTCCAGATTGTCACTGCAGAGGGAAAAGCGCAGGGTTTTATCAGGTTTACCATGGAGCTTGTTCTCATCAATGGGGACATCTCCCTGCCCACCATCTGCAAGCTGCATATTTAACACCTGGAGGGTGGGAGAAAGAAACAAGGCTTCATTAAAATCATCTGCTTTTCAGATAACCAAAGAGCAAATAAAAACTGGAGACATGGTTTTGTATTGTTAATGGGGCAATCAAATTTCTAACATTCTGTTAGAAAAAAGACAGCAACCTCCCAAGTCAGAGCCTGGGGAGAAAGCAAGGAACCACCCCATGGACATTAGGAATGTCCTGGTAACAAGGGAGCCACAGCTCCCTCATCACCCCCCAGAGCAGAAAGGAAAGGATCTGCACCAGGCTGCCAGAGGAGATAATCCCAACCAGCAGGCAGGGAGCAAAGCTGGAAGCAGCAGCTGTGCTACAGCTGGAGAAGGAAAAGGCTGGAACACCAGGCCTGCCCCAGGAACAGTCTGCAGGCACTGAGGGCACTGTGAGCTCTGCTGGGCCTGTGCCTTCCATGAGCTGCCAAAAGCATCAGGACCAGTGCTCCAGTTCTGCCACTCACCCGTGTCCCTGGACCCAAAGGACAGGCATGCAGAGGCACAGCAGTCCTGAATGCTCAGAAACAAGAGCCCAGGTTTGCTCTGAAGCTTCTTAAGTGAGGGAACAAACCCACCAAAGGCCAGTTTGAAAGCTACAACCCCAAGCTCGTAACACAGAGCAAGGGTTTAAATTCCCATTCCAGCTTTATTACCAAAACTTAGCTCTGTACCCTCACTGCTGTGCTATTAGAGAAGACAGAGGCTGCACGGTTCAAAACATCTGAGATGTCATGGTTTCTGGATACCTCATTTTCTGACATCATTCCTGGAGTAATCTGTGGACCTGTCCCCAAAGAAATCACCAGCACTTCTTCTGGCTGCACTTCTGGAATAGTCTCCTGGGAGGATCCTTCATGATCTCCGTGCTGGTCCATCAGCATGTTTGATCTACTTCTGCTTCGAGTGGCTAAGAAAATATTTCAAAATACCCACATCAGAAAGCTTTTCCTTTTGTTTAAGGAGGAAAAACAGACAATACAATGGAAATACAGAACTGTAGTATTTTAATTAGCAATACACACGAAATAAATTTTCAAAATCAAAGTGTTGTTAAACTTTTGAGAGATGGAACTGATGTTTAAACTTGAGTACTGCCCTGTGGAAAAGGAAACTTTCAACATAAAAGCTGAGAAGCAGAAAAACAAGGTACACTGTTTGCCAACAGCAATTCAGCCTATTCCAATCACAGAAAGACCTTTTATACGTTATATGAGAAAATTCAGTTTGTTACTAAAAAAAGGTCTAGGTTTCTGTGGTTTAAAACTCTAATTAATTTGTTTAAAAGGCTTTTTCTCCTAAGAAGTAGGAAATCTTATTCTAACAGGTGTCTCAAACCCAGACACACAATACAACATCAGGTGGTTTGCTCTGATTACTTTTCCACTCTTATGTTCCCTTTTCAACCGGCCTCAGATTCCCACATGTGGCTCCATGGAAGTAAAAACACCCACATGAAATTAAGGTTTCTAAGAATGGCAGCATGACACCAATCACTTTTTTATTTGACCCAAGGAAAACAAGGCAAGTGTGCAGAAGTGGCAGCCAAATTCTGATTATCTGACAGAGGGGTTTTTAAAACCCACATGTACACAAAATGCCAAGGGAGATGATTGCCCAAAGGCATGCTGAGTTATGTGACACGAGTCAAAGCTTCACAGAAGAATGGAAAGAGGGCATTACCCACCAAAAGGGGTTACTAGAGTTATGTGAGCTGACAGATTGGTAGCAGAGGTGTCCCAGGCAGTAATCGCTGCCAGCTGCTGTCCTGGAGTTCGAAAGCATTAAAATGAAACAAAAGAAACAAAAAACTTTGAGCAAAAGCTATTTTATACCATAAAAGAAATGCTGTAAAGTGCCACTACTATAGAGGTGTAAAACCAGAACCATGCAAAAGCAGAGTTAAACCAACAGGTTTGTTTTGGGGGTGGATTTTTGTGGGTTTTTTGCCACTTACTGGCCTCTGTATGTTTTTGTCCTTTTACACACCAACACCAAATCTCTCAAACAAAAATATCCCACGTGGTCATATTCACATAAATATACACTGAAGAAGAGTACCACCCTTCTCATTTTAAAATAAAGTATTATTAATATGGAAAAAATCTAGATCCAGAAATCCTACTCAAAAAACAAAATCCAACCAACCTAAAATTGCATTCCAGAAAACTGACAGTTGGAATTAGAGCAGGCAAGGAATGGAGAAAGGACAAACCTTCTCTTCTCAGCACATACTCTGAAGTCCTGCTTGTTCACCCTCCTGTCCATTTGTTCTCTGACAAAAATGTTAAACTTATTCTATCCCACTAATTAAATGCCTCTGCTTCCATCTTACTACTTTCCTAAGCAATTTTCCCCCTAGATCTGCTTCCCACCTTCAAACCTCCCCTTTACTGTCACTGCCAAGCACCACCATTACAACTACCAACCACTCCAGAAATTTTCCCCAGTTCAGGCTGGAGGGATGAAGGTCATTCACCACACTTGCATTAGACACTAAGGAAGTCACCTGGGTTTAAAGAAAATTCTTCACCACCTACACATCTAGAAAAAGTAGGAACTGGAGGTGTAGGTGAAGAGTAAGCCCAAGAGGTGACTGAGAAGACAGCACAGGAATGCCCGAGGTGTCAGAAACCAGGGGCTCTCCTTACCTATGGGCAGGGGCCGCGCAGTCCTAAGTGGTTTCGGTTCTTTTTGTTGGCTGGAGTGGTTGCAGGAGAAAGCTGGGGGGTGTTGTACGGAGTCATTTCAAGGCTGCTGCTTTTCCCTGGCTTGTTCTGGGGTAAATTCGCCAGCAAGTTTTCCAAAGCCATCCGATCTTCCTTAAGCTGATCGCTTGACATCACGTTCCGCATGAAGCCCACCTAAACACAGACAACCATTCGGTAAGGAGCGCGGCGTGAACAGCCCGCTCCTGCCAAGGTGGAGCACGGGCACAGCCCGCTCCCGCCAAGGTGGAGCACGGGCACAGCCCGCTCCTGCCAAGGTGGAGCACGGGCACAGCCTCCTCCTGCCAAGGTGGAGCACGGGCACAGGCAGGCAGTGACCCCCAGCAGGAGCAGCAGCATTACCAGGGCAGTGAGCTGGCTGTAGGTCATGTACACCACGGTGCGGCTCAGCCCCTCCAGCAGGTTCACGGCCGACATCGGGGGAGTCTCCACCGCGCGCCCGTCGATCACCACGTCCAGGAAAGCAGCGACACAGCTCTGAGGGACAGCAGACAGCTAGTGAGACACCACCCGAAAGTCTGCAGGGAAACTTACCACAGGAGTTAAGTACTGGACAGAATAATTTAAGTTTCACTTCCTACTTCTGAAATCTTGGGATAAAACGGCAGGTATTTTAACTTTAAGGAAAGCGCGCAGTTGCTTTTAGCATTTCTTTCATTCCTTTCTTGCTTCCCAAAGTGTTACTTACTTAAGTGTCCTCTTACAATTAAAGGGAAAAAAATAATGACAATAAACCGGCCTTTCCTGAAGAATCTGGTGAGCACAGACTGAAAATGAAACAAAGAAGCAACAACGACATCACTTTCCAATCGGAGTGAAAATGTTACTTGTACAATAAATGTGTAGCATTGTGTGGTGACTGTGTAACAACAAGAATTACCAAAACCTGCACAGATACAAGGTTACCAAGGATGCCAACAGATTTTTAAACACTTGACAATGTTTCAAAGGCCATCAGCTTCGCTGTTGCTCTGATGAAGGTAATGCTGTGGCTACGGATGGATTCATACTAACAGGAAAAGCTGAATAAAAAAAGCAAAACTAGGCAAAAAAGAAAGAGAAGCTACTTGCACTAAGAAATTACTTGGTGTTAAAACAGATGTTATACTAAGGCTGTTTTCAGATCAAAGCATTTTTTTAGATTCAGTTGAAAAACCACAGACAGGAATTCAGTATTTCACAGAATCACAGAGTGGTTTGGGTTGGAAGAACCTTAAAGACCCTCCAGTGCCACCCCCCATCATGGGCAGGGACATTTTCCACTAGACCAGGTTGTTCCAAGCCCTGTCCAGTCTGGCCTTGAGCAGTCACAGTGCTCAGTTGAAAATACCATTTAATTTAATTTTTAAAAATATTTTCTTTTAAGAAGTATTAGGTCAGAGTAGAAGCAAGAATCCCCAACTCTTAAATCTAGTATTCAAGATTTTTTCCCCCAGCTTTGTGCAGGATTTAATCTGCTTTTCATTACATTCAACTTGAAAATTAAACACATAATAAGTCCTTTGCAAAGTCTGAGAAAGAGGCTGCAGAAGGATGATGATGTATTCACCAAGCCTTGGATTTTCTCAGCCTGGATTCTTACTTTGTCAAATTTAGCGAGGTTGCTCTTTGTACGTGGATCTCCCTCCTCAGAGCCTGTCATTGCCAGCTGCTGCAGAAGTCTCCCAACCTGAAATCAAAAAGAAGTACACAGAATAAGCCTTTCATACCATGATGGACCTGATCACAAAAAATATTCAAAAACCTCCTCCATTCTAAATCCTTTTTCATTTAATACTCCAAGGAATACTTCTGATTGAGTGGACAGAGATGTGTGCTTGCTTTCAGGGAAGAAAAAAATGCACGAAGCTTTAGGAAAAAAAAAAAAGCAGTCATTGCCTTTAACAAGAAAATGTGCACACACAGTAGGCTGTGGCCATCCATACTTCCCCCTCCCAGGAACAAAGCATGTTTTGTTTTTGCAACACGTCAGAATTGAGAGTTGAATCTAGGTCATCTAAACCTAGAGATTTTCAAAGGCTGCATATATTTTACTAAGGAGAAATAGCAGGAGGGCTAACCCTTATTTCAGAGCACATATCCCTTATTCATCTCCAACTGCAAAGCAACCCTCAATTTAAAGAGCTGCCAGCTGCTCTGCTACAGCACGTGAGCAGTGACAGGAGAGGATTGCTGCTGGATTTTAGAGAAACACTGAGCAAACTCAGTGATTGCACTGCAAGGATCACTGCCTGCCCACTTTATAGACAACAGTAAAAAGCAGGTTTTGTTCCTCACGTGGAGCAACATTCTCAGTCAGACAAGTGTTGCTCAACACCTTCAGATGACTCCTCTATGTAATATCATTACATTGTCCAAGTGTTTGCACAATGACAAAAACTGGTCACGAGGGCTGGGGAATGCTCCAAGTAGAGCACTGGACATTACTGCCAGACAGCAAGGGGTTTCCAACAAAGTATTTCATTATTTTTTGCAATACCTGGTATAATATTTAACATTTGCAAGAGCAGCATAACATTCTTTTTCACACATTCTAGAATTCATCTTCTAGTCATTTTTATGCCTTAGCTTCCATCCCTTAAAAACAGCTTTTACAAAGGATATTTGCAACTCTTCTCAGGGGTACAGGAATACATGCTGTCAATTTTTTCAAGTCAGTATTTTAAGCAAACAGATACACTTTGGAGCCTGCCTTTTCAGCAACAATTAACACAGATATTTCGTTAGCATTCATTTTACAAGCAGGAGAGACAGTACCTTCACTTTTACTGTAGTAGCATCAGCTCTAGAGGGAAGAAAAATGCCATTTACATATTTTTAAGGCTGCCTTACTGTGAATCATACCTGCATCAGATTAAATCTTGCCACCTCGTTGATAGGAGCATCAGAGATGATGCCGTACTGCTCGGGGTTGACGATGGCAGGGCAGATGAAACAGGCCAGAAGGAGATCTGTGCACATGGCTCTGACCTCGCCAACCTCCAGCCTGTCCACGCACGACAGCGTCTTGTACATCTGCGACACAATCCACCTCAAGCTGTGAGGAAAGCAGTACGTGTTTTGTTTGAGATAGCCAATGAATTTGTTCACCAGGGTCACCAGCTTGGCCTCGTTGGAGTCAACCATCTCTTGGACCCTCTGCTTGAACTTTTCTGTGCCTTTCTCTCCAAATAACTTTTCCTGCTGTACTGGGGAGAATCTCTCAATTAACTTGTTCGCATCGGTTTCCAGGTGGTCTTCGTCCTCAACCAGAAGCTGCATGATTGGCTCATGTAAGGTAGCAGTAAGAAAAAGTTTTGCAGAAAAGAGTCCTTCAGAGAAGAGCTTGAACAAGATGCTGAAGGCACAGGTGCCTCGTCTCAGCAGCCGCCTGGGGTTGTCGCTTTCCTTCAGTTCAAACTCAATCAGGTACCGCAGCACCTGCAGCAGGTAACTCTCGTCCTCCTGCATGATGCAGTTGCCATAGATGGAGGTGAAGACCGTGTGGATGACACTCTGGGTGTTGTCCTGGTTGAGCTTCTCGCCAGCCACCAGGCAGGACGCAATAAGCCTGGGGTTCTCTCTCAGTCTGTTCAGGAATTCTCCATAAGCAGTCTCCTGGAATCCCAGCTGCTTGTACCCATCCACAAACTGCGTGTCCTCCAAGATTTTTGCGTGCTGGCAACATTCAGCAGGAGAAGCTTCAGCACTTTAAAGAAAAACATTGAAACACTTTAAGTAACTCTTAAGTAAACAAACCTGCTAAGAGATGCCACGTGATCTATCTATTAACCAGGCTGCCACAGAGGAAAAAGTCTTTCCAGATAGTTACTACGAAGTATTTGCAAATTCTGGATAGCTTTTCCCCATGAACAGAAGCAAAAAAACCCACCGGTATTAAAAAAATAATTGCTTCAATGGCCCACAAGTAACTCTTGGTGTAAGATTCCCCAGCTGAGGTTGGATTTACAGCCTCACGTTTTTCTGCTGAGTCCAGCCAAGGCCTGCAGGCTGCGAGGATGAGGAGCAGCTGGCAGCAGGGGGGTGCATACCTGGTGATGATGAGCCTGTCGAGGTTGATGCGCTGCTGTTTGGAGATCCAGGCCGTGCGGTAGAGCCGCTCCGCCGTCTTCAGCACGTCGGCGTTGAGCCGCTGGATCAGCTGCTTCTCCGAGCTCACGTACAGCCGCTCCTGCTTCAGGTGGTGGGCCAGCGTGTGGATGTCCAGCTTCACCATGGTGCCACAGCCCCTGCACACAGAGCGAGCGGCTCAGCCCCACGGGGAGGGAACGAGCCCTGCCAGCCCCACGGAGGGCAGCGGGCACAGGCTGACCCCGAGCCCTGCCAGGGGCAGAGGGCACAGGCTGACCCCAAGCCCTGCAGTGGGCACAGGCTGACCCCAAGCCCTGCAGTGGGCAGCGGGCACAGGCTGACCCCGAGCCCTGCAGTGGGCAGTGGGCACAGGCTGACCCTGAGCCCTGCCAGCCCCACAGTGGGCAGAGGGCACAGGCTGACCCCAAGCCCTGCAGTGGGCAGCGGGCACAGGCTGACCCTGAGCCCTGCCAGCCCCACAGTGGGCAGAGGGCACAGGCTGACCCCGAGCCCTGCCAGCCCTGCAGTGGGCACAGGCTGACCCCGAGCCCCGCAGTGGGCAGCGGGCACAGGCTGACCTGTGCCAGAGCCCTGCCAACCCCGTGGAGGGCAGCAGGCACAGGCTGAGCCCAGGCAGGGAAAGCTGCTGTGCCCCTCCTCAAACCCCCCACCCTGCGCTCAGGCACGCTCTCCATGCAGGGTTCCAGTGCCAGTGCCATGGTGTGTCACACAGCAGGGACACTGGCAGAGAAGCTGATGGTGTTTTCAGCTCATCCTGACAAGCAGAAACAGGAGCACAGCCCTGCCACACCTCAGGTACACCTGGCCTCACCTGGGGACACGTGGCCCTGGCTGCAGCTCAGGTGACACAAGCTCAGCCCCCATTCCCACTCACTGTCTGGGGAACAGACTCCTTCATCCTACAGCCCATCCCCACAGCCCAGCACTGCCCAGGGACCTGGGTGTTGGAATCTCTGGCCTGTTCTCTCTCTCACCTATGCACCAGAAGCACCAAGTTCCCAATGCTGCTCTCCTCTGCTAAAAAAATAATAATAGTAACAATATTACTAATTAAGGAAAAAACACCAAATCACAAACCAAGGAGTATCAATACCCAGATAAGGCAGGAGTTGGAAATAAGTTTAGAGACTTTGCTCAACAGCAGAATTCATTCAGAAAAAAATTCCTCAAATATTTCAATTCAGAAGAATATTTCTTTGGGCCATGATCCAAAAATGTTGTTTTATAGAGAGAAAAACTGAAACAACCATAGGCTTTCATAGCACATCAGGGGCTAAAATCTACACAAACTTCTGCTCTGTATGAATGTAATATCAGTTTTAACTTCACAACTACAAAACATCTCAGCAGAGTACTGCACCAGACAAGACACATTCCAGGAGCAAATCCATCTAAAAATCAACTGTTTGGGAGGAAAAACCCCATCAAATGCATTAACACTGACAAAGGAAGAAAGAGGTACAATCATGCAGATCATGGAATTGATGGTTAACTGCTTTATGTCTTCCCCACCAGAACTAACTAACAGGCACACCAGCTAATTTGGGAAGGACAAGGGTTTGAGGCAGATATCACCTGTGACAGACCATAATATACCTGTTGTGTGTATCAATAATGGAGATGTCAGAGGGCTCTAGTGAGGAAACCCTCAACGTAGCAATACTACAGTCAAAATAAAAACTTACTTCCCACAACCTGCAGTGACTCTGGACAAGCCTTGCTTCACAAACCCATTTAGAGCATGCTTGAGAAACGACAAAAAATGTGCTAGAAAAGCACGTGCTGGCCCAGTGCTCTCCCCTGCTAGTGTTTTAAAGATCTGTGTTTCACTGTTCAGCAGAGCAGGAGGTGATCCTCGCTGAAGAATACAGATTAGCTCCCTAATTAGGCACAGGTTTCCCATTTGTTGGGTTTTTACAGCCTGACAGCCAGGTGCACTGACAACCATCACTGCTGCTTGTGTAATTAAGTCCTTTCATCTGCAGTTTTAACCTCACAACCAGGAGCCAGGCAGACACGAACAGAGAAGCTGTCACAATGCATTAAAAAATTGCAGTTTTATTACACTCAAAGATTTAAAGGCCATTCCTAGTAAACACAGAAAACTGGGTATAAAGCTCTTTATAAAAACCCCAAACTCAAAAAGACCCCAAACCAAATTCAGCAATCCTGACCAGAGGCTACAGCTGATGATCCAAAAACGAGATTGCGACAGGAACTTGAAGGATGTGCTAATTCAGATGTTTTTAACTAGGACAGTCTCAGAGAAATGATTAGAAGAAGAAACATTGCTGTTACTGCCAAACTTCTTTGTGAAACAAATAATAACTTCTTGCAACAAATTTATTTTTAGTCTCAGAATTTAAGAGCTTGCAAAAAAAAACCCTTAAAACCAGCAGTAAACTTGCTACTGCCTGCAAACACAGTAGTAACCAGTTTTAGGCTGTGAGCTAGTGCTGTCAGCCTGGAAAAAGAAGTTGAATCCATAAAAGCACACACAAACAAGACCTGCAGAGCTGCCTTCTGCCTTTTCAGAGCATCCCACCGTAGGGCTGTGCTCAAAAGCTGCTCATATTTGATCAAACTGGACAGTTTTAGTTGGCATTTTCCACTTTCAGGTGTCAGCCCACAGCCTCCACTTTCCTGGACAGAAAGTCACTCCAAGGGGATCTCCTGCTTCTAAGAGTTTGGGAAGGAAGGGGAGGCCCACAAGGAGCACCCCTAGGAACAGCCTGGTGCCTCTGCCTGCAGCCCAATGCCTTTGTTTTGCCAAATTTCCAAACAAGTCTCTATTTTTGTGTCACTGGTAACAAACCCATTTAGGAGCAGACAAGCTCCTGAGGTGTTTCCTACACTTACAATCAATTTCTCTCAGTTTCACTTAGGGTCTTTTTCTGTTTTTATTTATTGGAGAAGATGTTTCCAGCACCAGGGATGGGCAAAGCTCCCTAAGAAGCCTCTGAGGAAGATGCTCTGCTCCTTCCTCCTCTGCCCACGGGTCAGAGCAAGCTCCAAAAGCCCTGGCAGCAGAAGTGCACGCAGTGCAGCAACTCTCACACACGCATCAATCCACCTGCCAGCAAAAGAGGTCAGACCATTGTAGCATTTGTGATGTCACCTGAAAAACACTGACAGCACAAACCTCACCCCTGCTTGGAAGGTGAGGTGAGCACCCAACAGAGGAACAACTTGGGCACCTCCTCACGAAGAGCAGACACCGAGGCCCTGAGAAGCCAGGGGAAGTTGCCAACTGCTGTAAATTCTGATTTTTCCTTTTAAACTAACTACCTCTCTGAGCTCCAGGCCTAAAACAAGGCTCCAAAGAGCACCCTCAGCTGCATCTGTGCTGCTAAATATACTGCTCCTGTGACTACCTGATAACATCCCATCAGTTGGCCACTACCCACGTGTGTGTCTTATCTGCCTCAGCTGCAGAACACCAGAAATAACAAAAGCAAGAGGATTGATTCAGAACTGAGCCACAGCAGGCTACTGTGTGCCACTGCTTTGTCAAGAGCTGTGAAAATCCACAGGATTTTCTGTCAATCCACAGGACAACTGCACGACAGCAGCTTTCACCCTGTGTACAAGAAAACAGGATCAGCAGCTTCCCCAGCTTGGTAACCTCCATAAAAATCAAAGTGGCTCGACTGCAAGGATTGCTGCTGGGATCCAGCTCTGAGGAGAGGAACACCTCATCACTGCCTTCCACCAGTTTGTAAAGGAACTATTCTGAAGCCACACATGCACAGCAAGCAAGAGCACAAACAACTCTGTCCTTACCTCAGTCCCTGGCAGACACCTGAGAAGAGCAGAGATGTAAAGCAGCAGTTTGACACACAATGTACTTCAGCAAGGCTCAGGGAAGAAAACCCAAAAACCCAGTTGGGCAAGATGCACACAGCTTGTCCTGAAAGAAGAAACTATTGTACCACCAACACACCTACCTGACACACACTGCTCCTCCCCAAAACCTCTTCCCTTTACAGCAGTGCAAAAAGACAGCAGCTGCATCCTCTGACCAGGCTCCACAAGGTGCACTTGGCCACAGCCAGCCCTCAGTGACAGCTCTGGAGCAGAGCCTCTGCTGATTCCTCCTTTGTCACATTACCTTATCAGCTGCTCATAAACAAAAAGGTGCCTGTAATTATCCAGCAATCTGGTTTATGACTGCCACACACCACACCTGGAATAGCAGATATCTGTACACAGCTATATAAAGGAGTCACTTTAGGATATTTAGATATCCAGCAGCCTGCTGTGGCTGAAGGAACAACAGATATGTAAGATTGTGCTATGTTCAGATTACTTTTCAATCCTGGGATTTCATGTTGATATGGAAACATTTCCATTTTCTGTCAGTTATTTCAAGGCTACTCAGGAACCTACAAGTAACTGTGGCACAGTAAGAGCAGCTTAGCACAACAACTCAGACAATTTCCCTTCATGATGCTCCACATATCAACAACAAAGCCTGCGTGACCTGACAGCACCCGAGATGCCTTGCCCTGCTGGCAGCACACATTTGCTCAGAACCCGGGGCAGTCTGTCCTTTGAAGAACACAGGACACAGATTGCTTCCCACTCTTGAAAGTCCTGGAGAACACAACATTGAATCTTCAGCTGCTGAACTCCACCTTACAATGTCCGTGGGTTTGTCCTGTGGCATACAGGAACAAGTCACATCTCTCCTGCATATTTCTGTGATTCAGTTGACAGAAAAGAGATTAAGTGGTAAATACTGCTGGTACACCAGATCCTTCTTCCTCCTCCCAGGTTTCCTGCTCAGGGTTACTTGCTCCTCCTGAGTCTCGCTATGCAAGACAACTTCCAGAGCAAGTTTGGGCACATCTAAGGTGGGCAGGGCAGGGCAAGGCAAAATCACTCCATCCCGCTGAAAAATAACTCCTAAGCAAGCCTGAATGGCTTCCAAGCTAATTGAGCCCTGATGAAGTACCTCTTTGCTCATTGGTATTTATAGCAGCCTCTGACCAGCTTTACTCCTTGACACAAGCTAACTGCCCATGTCCCCAGCGGAGCTAAGAGCCCTTTCTCAGCAGGATGGCTCACCATGACCTAGGGCTCACTGTGAACCCTCACACTGCAGCACCCACCAGCCCAAACACGCGTGTGACACACAAAATGCAGCTCCACTAATTGTCATTAATAAGAAAGTCATCCCTCATGTTTGTTTCTGCCCAGAGCCTGCTCTCTAGCTCCCTGGACATACTGTCCATCCATGCGAGGAGAACCTCATTTCTCCTGCCCCATAACAGAACTCCTCAGTAAAGGACAGGATCAGCTGCCTACTAAATTATGGCATCACCAATGCCATCTATTCTGGCATTGCCATGTTGCACAGAATCAACAAAAGCACATAACCAGGCTAAAATCTCTTCCAGTTGCTTGTGATGCCAGAAAGTGGAGTTCCCTTTAGGTGAGGGATAAACTTTTAGTCAGAACAAGTGCAGAACTTGAAGCTGCTCAGACTGACAAAACCAACCTGTTCTCCTGAGAGCAGCTCCCTTCCCATCCACCAGGAAGGGCAGCTGCTACCGAGGAGAGAATATTCTCCATTACCTGACAAACACCACATCAAAACCCGTGCGTTGAGCATCTTAAGCACTTCGGAACCCCCCTCAGCAGTTGAAAAGTGTTTCCTGAAGCCACCATCCTGCTGCTTGTGCAGAGTATTTCAGATTTCCCGTAGTGCCCGTGCCATTCCCCCTCCATCCTCTCCGAAGTGCAGCTTCTGCTCGCGAGCCAGCAGCACGGTCGGCCACGAGAGCCCTTTACCTATCGGTCAGGGTCGCGTCACATGCCCGCTGCCAGAGCCCCATCCCAGCTCCCGGCAGCGCGGGATCATGACTTTGCAAGAAAAAAAAACCCGACAGCGCCCGCATCGAGCTCTCGGCGTTGGGGGGCTGCGAGTAACCGAAAAGGGAAGTCAGGGCACCGGTCAAGTTTCGAGTTTTAAACCCGCACGACACAAAAGCCGCGGAGGAGAGGCGGCCGCAGGGCCCCGCTCCAAGGGCTCCGATCGCCGGCGCACCGGGAGCGCCGTGCCCGCACCGGCCCGGGGCACGCGGGCACGGACGGACCCGCAGCAAACCGCGCAACAACTTCTGCCGCCGCCCCCCCGCCTCCCTATCGCGATAAACCCGCCCGACATACCCTGCTCGGCTCCGTCTCTGCTCGGCTGCCCGCCTTCCCTCTCGCTTCCCTGGAAAAACCAAAGGGTTTTGTCAGGCCGCGGGCCTTCCTCCTCCTCCCACCGCTCCCTCCTCCTCCTCCTCCTCCTCGGGGGGAGGAAGCCGAGCGCTGTCGCGGGATTCGAGCGTGTCCCTACCCGGCCAGCGCCCCGGCGGCTCCCGCTGCGGCCCGGGCGGGCGCGGCACTGCGCAGGCGGCGACGGCGCTCCTGGGACTTGTAGTCCCGGGGCCGGCACCGGGAGCGGGGCGAGGGCCGGGCGGAGCCGGGGCCGCTCTCGGAGCTTCGCTCCCCCGTCAGCCCCGGCTCCGCCCGGCCCCGGCTTGTGCGTGCGGGGCTTGGTGTCGCGACATGGCGGGGCCTCCCGACCGGCGGGCAGCGGCTGCCCGGGGACGGTCCCGGTGTCGCCTCGGGGCGCCGGGCACACGCGTGTCACCTCATCCCCGACGGGGGCGGGACGGGGCTCTGCCCGGAGACCCCGCACGGCCCGGCCATGATGCCGGCCCGGTTCCAACCTCCCCGCACCTCCCTCCCGGCAGTGCCCCGGTACCGCCCGTACCCCCGGTGCCCCCGGGAGCGGCGGCGCCCCCCCCACCGGCGGGTTATTTCCACCCGGCCGGTAACCATGGAAACTTCCAGAAGTGCCCCCCCACCCCGCGGCCGTGGTCCCGCCCAGCCAATGGGGACGCTCCGCTTGGCTCACGCTTCTCTGTGGCCGCGGCCGGCGGGTGGAACCAATGGGGCGGCGCGAGGGGGGCGCGCCGGGCACGGCGGAGCCGGCGCGCGGTGCTCGCCAATCGCGGGAGGCCAGCTTGGTAGCAGCCGGCCAATGGAGAGGCTCCAGCGAGGGCGCGGCAGCCAATGGGGAGGCTCCACGAAGGGGTAACGGAAGGTATAAAAGGGCGGGCGGCGCGGCCTGGCGGCTCAGCGGCGATCGGGGCGCGGCGTTTCTGCACGGTGAGGGCCGGGCGCGGTTCGGGCTGGGCCGCGGACGGGGGGGATGGCGGTTGAGGACACGGAAGGATCCGGCGGGGACGGGAGGCCATTCCGCACGGCGGGGGCTGGGTGGTTGCGGGGAGGGGTGAGGGGGGCGGCCGCGCACGTGGCGCCTCCGTTGTGTAACCGGCGGCCTCTCGGTAGGTGGGCGCGGGTGAGCGGTCGGTATGAGGCTTCTGCTGCTGACGCTGCTGGCGCTGGGCGCCGTCTGCGCGGACGACGAGGAGAAGAAGGAGGACGTGGGCACGGTGGTGGGCATCGACCTGGGCACCACCTACTCCTGGTGCGTGGGGACGGGCGCGGGGGGCCGGCCGGGCCGGTGGGCAGCGCGGCGGCCCTTCGGGGGAGGCAGGGCCGCGGGGAAGTGGCTGCGGGCCCGGGAGGGCGCAGGGAGGAGCAGAAGGGAAGGCGGGGGGGGATGTGTGCAGGCCGCGGCCCCGCCTGACCGTTCCGCTCCCCCCCAACCCCAGCGTGGGCGTCTTCAAGAACGGGCGCGTGGAAATCATCGCCAATGACCAGGGGAACCGCATCACGCCGTCCTATGTGGCCTTCACCCCCGAGGGGGAGCGCCTGATCGGGGATGCTGCCAAGAACCAGCTCACGTCCAACCCGGAGAACACCGTATTCGATGCCAAGCGGCTCATCGGCCGCACCTGGAACGACCCCTCCGTGCAGCAGGACATCAAGTACCTGCCCTTCAAGGTGGGCCCCGAGTGCAGAGGTGGGGGGCCTGGAGGGGAGGGCCTGCAGTTGTGGTCAGAAGAGGCATCTGCTCCCAGTGTCCCCAGGAGGATTGGTGTGTAAACAACAGATCCTGGTGTTAGCTGCACTCAGGTTATGCTTGTCGTAGAGGTTTTGCTTGATGTTTAGAAAGAACCATGGGAACAAGTTGGAGTAGTTGAATGGGACAGTATCCATTGTTCTCCTCAGGTGGTTGAGAAGAAAGCCAAGCCCCATATTCAGGTTGATGTTGGAGGTGGACAGACAAAAACATTTGCTCCTGAAGAAATTTCCGCAATGGTCCTGACGAAGATGAAGGAAACAGCAGAGGCTTACTTGGGGAAGAAAGTAAGTACACAGGAAACACTGGTAACGACTTGGATTGGCAGCTTTAGGAAATGGGAGAAGGGGAGGCTGAGCCAGGACTGACCTTGCCATCCCAAACTGCAGTCAGTGCTGCAGGCCCCTTCAGCAGCCCTGTCTGGAGGGCTAAGCTGGTGCTGGCCCTTCATCTCTGAAGATGGGCTGCTTGTTCCAGCACTGCTCAGAGTGGCTGGTACTGCTTACAGACTGCTTTTTCTGTCATTGCTGTAACTTTCTGTCCCTCCCTGCTCAGGTGACCCACGCTGTTGTCACGGTGCCAGCCTACTTCAACGATGCCCAGCGCCAGGCCACCAAGGACGCCGGCACCATCGCGGGGCTCAACGTGATGCGGATCATCAACGAGCCGTGAGTACCCACCCTGTCCTGCCCAGGGCAGCTGTGGGCTGGCACCCCAGCCCTGACAGCCTGTTCCCTGTACAGAACAGCTGCTGCCATTGCTTATGGACTGGACAAGAGAGAGGGAGAGAAGAACATCCTTGTGTTCGACCTGGGCGGGGGAACTTTTGATGTGTCCCTCCTCACAATTGACAATGGAGTCTTTGAAGTTGTGGCTACTAATGGTGACACTCACCTGGGTGGAGAAGACTTTGACCAGCGTGTTATGGAGCACTTCATCAAGCTCTACAAGAAGAAAACTGGCAAAGATGTTAGGAAGGATAACAGAGCTGTGCAGAAGCTGAGGCGGGAGGTGGAGAAGGCCAAGAGAGCTTTGTCATCTCAGCACCAGGCCAGGATTGAAATAGAGTCCTTCTTTGAAGGAGAAGATTTTTCGGAGACACTCACTCGAGCCAAGTTTGAGGAGCTGAACATGGTAAGTTTAGAAAGGTAAAGTTACACAGCCTCAGCTCTGGACTGGGACTGGGGAATGTGCAGCATCTCGTGCAGTGACATTGCACTTTGGAGTATAAATAACTCTGTGTAAGCAGGCAGCTGTTGCCTGCCAGGGAGCTGGGCCTCAGACAGTTTGGCATGTCTGCTGTGTAGTGGTGGTACTTTGTACCTCTGGGGCTGCACAATGGGGCGGGCTGGGAATACAGTCTCACAGTCCTTGGGGTTTTGCCTTTGCAGGACCTGTTCCGTTCCACTATGAAGCCTGTTCAGAAAGTTCTGGAAGATTCTGACCTGAAGAAGTCTGATATTGACGAGATTGTCCTGGTTGGTGGATCAACTCGCATCCCCAAAATCCAGCAGCTCGTTAAAGAGTTCTTCAATGGGAAGGAGCCTTCTCGTGGCATTAACCCAGACGAGGCTGTGGCCTACGGCGCGGCTGTGCAGGCCGGGGTGCTCTCTGGGGACCAGGATACAGGTAATGGCACCTTCACTGCCACCTAAGAGCTGACCCAACAGCGGATGTTGGGCACTGACAAGCAAATGCAGACCAACTTGGATCTTCTCCAGTCCTTGGAGTTCTGTGCCCCTGAGGACTCAGGATCCTGTCTGCAGCATTGTGTTTTGTTTTGAAGTTGTGTCACAGTCTTGCCTTTGATCTGCTGCAGGTGACTTGGTGCTGCTCGATGTCTGTCCCCTGACTCTTGGCATTGAGACCGTTGGAGGTGTCATGACCAAGCTGATCCCAAGAAACACCGTTGTTCCCACAAAGAAGTCTCAGATCTTCTCCACAGCTTCTGACAACCAGCCAACTGTGACCATCAAGGTCTATGAAGGTGGGTGTCAGCTGTGGTGGCCCATGTGACAGCTGCAATTTGTCTGCTGTCACAAAGGCTGTAGGTACTTTGTTCATGGAACTGTGTCACTCATGGTTTCACAAAGTACAGGCCACAGCTGGGAAAGAGAGTAACCCTGCCTCATTGTTTCTTGCAGGTGAGCGTCCCCTGACCAAGGACAACCATCTCCTGGGCACCTTTGATCTCACGGGAATCCCCCCTGCCCCTCGTGGTGTCCCCCAGATCGAGGTCACCTTTGAAATAGATGTGAACGGGATCCTCCGCGTCACGGCCGAGGACAAGGGCACTGGCAATAAGAACAAGATCACCATCACGAATGATCAGAACAGGCTGACGCCAGAGGAGATCGAGAGGATGGTCAATGATGCTGAGAAGTTTGCTGAGGAAGACAAGAAGCTGAAGGAACGCATCGATGCCCGGAATGAGCTGGAAAGCTATGCCTATTCCCTGAAGAATCAGATTGGGGACAAGGAGAAGCTGGGTGGGAAGCTGTCCTCCGAGGACAAGGAAACAATAGAGAAAGCAGTGGAGGAAAAGATCGAGTGGCTGGAAAGCCATCAGGATGGGGACATAGAAGATTTCAAAGCACAGAAGAAGGAGCTGGAGGAGGTGGTTCAGCCCATCGTTAGCAAGCTGTACGGCAGCGCCGGCCCCCCGCCCGGCGAGGAGGAGGCGGCAGAGAAGGACGAGTTGTAGATACCGGTGTCTCCAAATGTGGTGTGTGTATATATTGGACTCAGGAACACTTGTTAAAATATTGAACTCTTAATTTGGAATGTAACTTTGAATCTTCACTCGTGAGTGGAGCTGGAACCGCTAGCCCGACGTGGCTGTATCCTGCTTTTCGTTAGCAGTTGCTCGATGTCTGGGGAGGGGAGTGGGGTGGGAATGTAAATGTGGGTTTAGAAGTATTGGCAGTGGAACATTCTATTTAACAACTTGGTCATGTGAACTTGGTGTAGAGCTTTTCTACCTGGAGTGACCACAATAAATTTGTTATTTACACTGGACTCTGTTCTGGTTCTGTGATCTCCATTAGCCAGCTCCAGCCAGGATCTGGATTAACCCTGAAGAAGGATGGAGTGCAACTCACCCCCTCAAGGTCACCTTTCATGGGAAGTTTGAAAGCAGGAGCTGGGCCTCTGTTGCCTTGGGCTGAGCTGGGGTTCAGTTTCTGAAGGGAGAGGGTGGACTTGGACCTCAGTGCAGTTTTACAACAGATCCTGATAAGGAAGGGGGGATCAAGGCTGAGTAACTGCTGAAGGGGCAGCTTTTATTGAGCTGGGAGAGGGAGGTTATCCACCAGCACCCACTGCCTGCAGTAGTGGTGGTGCCCAGCAGTGAGGG